GACTCGGACTCGGACTTGGAGGCTGGGATGTGGCCTGACTGTGGCTCTTGGTTTTATCCAGGGACCTCTGGATAGCTCGTTGGCTGGCTGGCTGGTTGGCTGGAGAAGTGCGCGACAAGATTTATAAGCGCCTGTCAACGAGCTAGCAAAGTGAGCGGATGGGACGGAGGAACTGCAGCAGCAGGCGAGTCGCCGCCGCCGCCGTGGTCACTTTTTGATTTATAAGCAAAATGTTTGCCGCGTTGCTCAAGTATTTATGAAACATTTCAAGGCAGCGGACACGGCGGCTTTTACTCTTCTGCCTCTTTGCTTTTTCCAGCCAGTTGACACTGCACTGGGGGAAATAGTGTCTACTGGAAAGAGGTCTTCAGAACAAAACCCCTGGGAGACATAAAATTGATGTATTATTGCATCAAGCCTGACAAGCAAACAACTTTAGTTATTAAATAATTTCAAAATTCCTGTGAAACATTGGCGGAGTTCTTGCGAGTAACTGAGACCCAAAACCATAAAGTTCCTCATATTTTCGAGTGTAGGATACTGTTTGGGCCTGGGAGCTACTTACTGCTGCTGTTGTGGCGCGGCAGTAATTGCGGCGGCATGTGAAATATGAGATAAACTCCAAGTAAGGCCAAGTCCACGGCTGAAGCTTCACTGCCGCAACTGCAACTGCTGCCTCAAAGCATGTGGCAAGTTGTTTAGAACTAACCGGGGGAAACTACAGCCCAACCGACCAACAGACCAACAGCCGGGCGACAGGCGACGACAGCATTTCGGTGCCACTTTGCGGCGAATGCGAAATAACTTCGCACAATTGAGCATGCCGACAACATCCAGGAGAAAGAGTACTCCCAACTTGGGCATTCTATTAAATTAATCGTCAATTATCAACGGGGCTGCAAATTATCTGAACAGAAAGGACACTGCAACACTCACTATTACAAATGAAGTGTCAAGTATAGACTGAAGCCCCCTTTAAAGTTCAAACAGTAAAGCTCTCCAGTAACTCTATCCCACCATCCCTCACAAATCAATTTAAGTTTGACTTGGGGCTCTAATTAAGCTACCAAAAACTATTGCCAAATTTTTCGAGAGGGCTAATGGAATCAGCCCCCATGCCGAACAAAAAGTAAAACTGAAGCTTTACATGCAATTGGGCTTGAAGCAAACGCTGGAAACGGCCAACTTGTTCGCGTTCGCTTGTTCAATGTGTTTAATTAAATAGCAAGCGTAATTAAATTGCAATTAAATTAATTAAAAAGCACGCAGCCGCAGCACGTTAGCAAACGGTTCGGTTTGCCGAAGTCCTCCCCTGCCCAGTGCTGGCAGGATATTTTTTGAAGAGGGTTTTCCCGGTTGCTGCCGGTTACCGGACTTTCAGACCATTCAGTTTAGGGGCCCGTCAGTGTGAAAGGAAAACAAAACGAAAAATACAATGTTGCTCTGTTGGACATGGAATGTTCTCACCCTCGCCCTCGTCCTGCCAGCTGAAGCTTTCACCAATTTCCTCATTTTCCTTTTGCCGCGCACAATTAGACTTTAATTTTTTATGAGCAATGAATGGTTTCGCAGTTTTACTTTTTGGTGTTAAATGCTTGATTAAGTTGAATGGTGAAAGCTATGCAAATTTCATCCCCACTCTCTCTGTGGGGGGCTGGGAAATTGGCTGCTTTGATGTTGGTGCCTGGCAAAGGGTGAAAAACTGAATAACAATTCCCCTTTTCTTTGCTTAATTAGTGCAGTGACAAAGTTCTGCTTCTATTTCCGCTAAATGCAGGCCAAAGATGTATCTGGAGATACGGATGGCAATGCGGGTAAAGAAAGGAGACTCAGCCAAGCTGCTAAAGATTCTACTAATTTTAACTGGCCAAGCGGAAGGGTGATCTGGCGGGCAACCGATTTCTCAAGAAAATAAATAAGGGCAGAGCTTTATATTATTTTAATTTCAATTCAGGGCCATCATCGAGAGTATAATGAGCCGACCCACCAACCTACAAAAGCCTTGCCGCAATGCCGTAAAATCGGCAACGGCGAGTAAAATCAACAATAATAAAGCCACACAGCACGTAGGCAAAATGAACAAATTGAATTGCGGCAATTACTTGCCACGCTACGCAAAATTGCCAACGAGGAAAAGGGGCAGAGTCGTCGGAGGAAAATCCAAGATCCGAAATCAAGTTCATAAAAATGAAATCATGCCACAGCTCAGGCAGAAGATCAAAGAGGACAAATCAATAAAGGCCCCACCAGCCACCATCCACCAGCTCTGGCCAGTAAAGGAATAACTTAAAGTCAGTCAAGTCGAGTGAGTCCCGGCCAAGAGACCGAAAGACCAAAAGGAGAGACGACCCCGAAACTGAACCAACTTGACCTGGTCAAGGCTAAGGCACATAAAATGAAATTATACAACAGCTTCAAGGGGGCCAGCACAGCGAGAAATGGTTTAGAAATAAAGACTTTACTTGTGTCCTCTTGTTGCCACAATATTTCTCCGAGTGTGGAAAACTAAAGCAAACTTGCTTTTGATCTATGGTGGTTTCAGACGACTACCAGAATGATGACGAGGACGAGAACGAGGGGGCTGTCTCCTGGATGAGCCAACAATGTGGAGCAGCCTCAGCCGACGACTGGGTCCACGTAAATTGGCATAAGAAATCAGAAATCACAGAAGGCTGCTCTCCTCGGACTCGGAGATAAATGGCCATGGCTTCGGATTCAGCTTCAGCTTCCTCCCGGGTCTCCAGCTCTCGACTCTCGACCAGGAGAAGGCCGAATGCAATATTAAGTAAATATACAAAACGTTGTCGGCACGGCGCACAAAACTAATGATGTCGATGATGCTGGGGGAATCTTCCGCTGAAGATGCCAGCGACTTTGACTCCGACTCGGGTTCAGACTGATAATGATGCGGCAGACAGGCCCAGAGATACAAACAGACAGCAGTGGCCCGGGAGTCGGCCGGGAAAAGGGGAGCGCGGAGAAGCTCAACACGCTGGACACTGGCGATATACACACGCCAGGTAATAAATTTCATTTCTCAGCTGATATGGGCAATTAAGGAACAATTTTGCAGCTGAATGAGTAATAAATAAAAATTGTATGCCAGCGATATACGCAGATACAAAACTGCAAGACGTCGACGGCTGTCCGTTGGTTGTCCGACTGTCCGCCCGTCCGCTTGTCCGTTTGTCGGTCGTCAGGCAGCCAACGTCAGGCCCAGAGATAGTTTTTGGATAAAAATATACAAAACAAACGAGTGCACGAAGAGCTGCACCGAGCCAGAAGAGGTCAGGTAAGATGGGGCTTATTTCTTATAAGAAATTGCCTGTCCCCAAAGACTTTAAGTATTTTTTTAAGTGTAGGACTCCCCGGCAGGTAATGAATGAATGAATGAGAAACGTTCTCGACCGACTGGAGAGGAGGACTCAAGGAACCCCTTCCCAAATACTTCTTGCATGCTTGCCCTTTTGATGAAAACAACTCAATGACGTGATTTGTGCCGCCAACGATGCCTTGCTCTGGGGCTGGGGGCTCTCCACTTCCTCCGCTGGCGATCCCTTGCCAAATCCTGTCTCATATAAATAAATCACATTTCACTGGATTGATGTGCAAAATTCTTAGGCTATCGCAGAGGATTGCGAAAAAAACAGATCCTACTAAGGTTTATTTTGGGAAGGAGAGCCATAATTTAAAGCTGCGAAATATTTTTGCATAATAAATCAAACTTCCGCCGGGAAGAGGTCGGGCCTCTTTATCATTCGCCACATATCCCTGGGAACGTGGCTTAAAAGAAGTCCGTCAAATGTTGCCATTTATCCGGCAACTTGTCTGCTCTTTGGCATTATTTTAATTACACTCGAGCCGGCGGCTCCCAAACACGGCGGCAGCAATAAAACCAGATACCCAACCCGAAGCCCCAAGGCAAGAGGTATTTTTTAAATGCTTCTCTGCACTGAAAGAAATTACATTCACATTGTGTCAGAATTGGAAAGTAAGGTTACAACCAAATGGTGAAAGACCAATCTTTTTCTTCAGCTTCCTTTTTTTTCAAGACGTGCCTCAACTTTTCAGTGCATTCCGTGGACTCTGGTCGCAAAAAGGAAACATTTTCGGGGCCATCGGTGCCTTTTTGGTAACACATGATATGTCGCCTACCTGGGAGATGCTTTTGCAGGAATTGAGCTGGGGTTGGAGATGGTGATGCAGCTTGAGCTGGAGTAAGAGTTTCAGGTGAGACAAGGGATGGGGCCACTGCTGAGTGGAGAACAATGGAGACCGGCATGGAGCAACATGACACTCGAGTCTCGAGTCTCTGTCGAACCGAAGCCGAAGCCAAAGCTAAACCCAAAGCCAAAGCCAGGGCCACTGGTCAGTTGGGAGAGCTGGTGTTGAGCACTTGCAACTTGCAGGAGGTGGATGTGGGGAGCTCTGTTTAAATGTTCTCCATTTTACTGTCAAGTGCGGACCGGACCGGACCGGGTTGACATTTGCCAACGATGCAACTGCCCCTGGGAGCCCGGAGAGCCCTGGAAGCCCTGCCTTCCATTATTTGATTCTGGTTCGCATGTCGAGAATTTTAATTTAAGTATGTAAACTGACATTGAATAGTTTTTCGCCAGGGAGCAGCTACAGTTCCCTTTTGTTGTGGGTGGTTTGGGCGGTTCAACCCAGACCCAGACCCGAACTCGGAGCTCGAAACTCAGAACTCCGAACCTCGAACCCCGAACCCAACTCAATGAAAATGCAGATAGTGTGCCAAAAAGCGGGGGAGTGTGGAAGTGCAATTTCAGTTTTGTTTGCAATTGGATTTCGTAATAGAAAGCCCCGGCTGAACTTTTTCCTTCCATCGAGGCCACACGACCGGGTGTGTGCGGGATGTTTCAACATTTGGGATTGAAAGTTTTATGAAAGAAGGGGCTGATACTATGTTATATATTCCATCGCTCTCAGCTTGGGTCGAGGTATATTATTCTACCAAAAATTGAATGAAATAAACTTACCGGTGTTGAATAGGGATGCGCCGTGAGTCGGACTCCGTCCGTCTCCAGTTGCTCCCGCAGGACCAGCTCCAGTTCGTTGTTAGGCGGGGTTTCACACAGAATTTCCATACTGCCGGATAGCGAGTTCGGATCGTTGAGCATGAAGTATACGGAGGCAGCTCCCTTCTCCCTCAGCGATCGAATACTCTTCAGCAGCTTGTGCCGATGGGCAGGATTCTCTACGCCGATGGCGTCCAGGTCAGGATCGCCCACCTGCTTGCAGATCTCCAGGTCATCGTACCCGTTGTCCAGAAAGCTCTCGGCGTACTGGGCCAGGCCCAGAGCCCGCAGCCACTCGCAGACAATGTTGCTAACGGCCATGGCTGTTCGTAACAATGATGAGGTGGCGCTCTACCAGGGAACGGATTTGAAGGGGCGACTTGCTTACGTGTGCCCTGGCAATTACCGTTACCGAATGGCGTCTATTAGTTTTAAGTGGCACGCCTCCCTGCTCCTCCTAGCTGCATGCAATTTCCTGCTCCTTTAAGGTTGTATTGTTTTAAATTGTCCTCCTCCCAGAAGCATTCTCTTTAATTTTACAACAGCCCTTCGACGCTGAACAGTCGTAAAAGCTCGACGCGTACACTCGTAAAAATTTATATCGCACTTTGAGCATTTTTAGCATAATCCCAGACAGTTGGGATCACATTTTGTTTGGCGCCACCACTGCTGCTGCTGCTGCTCCGCCGCCTGCAAAATAAGATAAAAACGAGGGTTTTAGTCAGCAAAATCGGAAACATTTTACCACGTTTATTTTCAATAATTTAGAGGGAGGCCCGGACTGGCTGCCTGGGAAATTGCATAAATTTGAAATGGCTTGCCCCATATGGTCCTCGGCCCGCATATGTCTATGCAAAATAGATGCGCTGCCATCTCCGATTCCCACCACAATATATCTCGAACAAATCAATAGAACCCGCGGCTATTGCCACAATTGATGTTGATGACGCTGCACACACTCTGCCGAGATTCAAATCAAACCCAAAATGCTAGAAAATTAATTAAGCCCAGTAGTGGCAGCTGCGGTTTGTACTTCCCCCGAAATTCCCACAGTCTCCTCCTCCCGCCTGGTCGGAGGGTGGAATTTCTTATCTACAAATCGGAGCAGGGGTCCCCCTGATAGGTTGAGGGCTCGTGGATAATGCGCGGTTGCAGTCGCTCATGCACACATATCACTCTATCATACCGCCCAACCCATTCCGATCCAATCCAATTCCCCGGAAAGTGGAGAGTCCATGAGGCGTTAAACGCAAACTAAAAGCTTAAACACACACTCGTGCATTTTTCTGGAAAGGAACGGAAAGGCGCGCGCGTTCTCATTGATAAATGATTGATTATCGAGTGCGTGGGCCATGGGCCGTGGGTGCGCTGCGGTTTTCCTTGGCTTAGCACAAAAGTTTAGTGTTTGCTTTTAGTTTATCTTTAATGGATTATTTTAGTGGTTGACTCGTCAGCGAGCAGCCAGAAAAGAACAACAAACGAGGCTCCCGCGAAGTGGGTGTGGAACACGAGATACTCTGTTGGAGGATAACATTATATGTTCTATAAATAAATATATATTATTGAGAACGCCTTTAATATGTGATTTAGCATAGTCATAGGTATAACTAGTTAGGCATCTATGAAGAACCCTTTTTCATATTTATGAAAAAATAAAATCAATTCTATAATCCTCACCCTCCCACACCCATCGGCTGGGACAAATATATCACATAATTTATGATCCCCAACCGATATCCCCTGTGACCAAGCTGATTTTTTCCTCCATTTTCCCGTAGCTCTTTGCTAGTTTTTCCTCCTCTGCATTTCTGTGGCCCTGTTTGTCTGCCGGCACAGCTGCTTTGTTTCTATTTTCATTTTCGTTGGCATTGAATAGATCAATCATGGCTCGAAAAAGCGCTACCCACCACCCGACCCACAAATAGTTCAATGATGACCAATTATTCACCAATAAAACTGTCGACCGAATGTCATGAATTGAACTTTTACTTGCTGAGCTAAGCGGAAATCAATCGCAAATTGCTGGGAAAGTGATTTTTGTGGAGAGCGTGAAATCAATTAGGAATTTCATTGAAAAATGATTCAAAACTGTGTGATGGAAAATGAGCTGTGAATCTATTGCAGATGATGAGTTTTTATGACTGTTATTTTTCCAATATGTTTCCCCTTTTTATACCCTTGCAGAGGGTATTATCACAATCGACATTTTTAAAAGTAGCCCGAAAAAATAACACGAGGTAGTATAGTCCAAAATAAAAAAAAGGAAATTACCTTTTTATAAAGAAATTCATATTCGAGTAAAAATCAACTTACAAGTAAAACATATTTCACTTTTTTCAATTATTCCATAAATACAAACAATAGACATTGCAGACATTGGTTTGGGTTCCAAAAAAGGAATATATTTGGTTATAAGTCCAAAAACTTTATTCTTACTTATCAACGTGGTAACAAACATCTAAAAAAATTAGTATGTTTTAAAGAATTATTTATTTTCTTATTTCTATCTAACACTCACGGTATTTCCGATGCAATACATAATTATCTGAACCTTCATAAATTTAAGGAAACAACTACACTCTGTACCCATTTTTATGTGGTTATTGAAAATTATAAAACGTTTACTTATTTAAGACGACAAACGATCTGTAGCCCATGCAGATAGAAACAGAAATGAATTAGGGAACAAAAAATTAAACTTAAGAGAGCTAATATTTTAAAGCATCTCATCACCCACTTCTGAAATTTCAAGAATGCTTATCTCGCACCAACTTCCCGGAACTGGAAGTACTGGTACTGGTACGGAACTGGTGCTACAAATAATCACATATTAAACCAAAATATTAAAAAACTTGCATTTAAAATTCAAATAAAAGTCACAAAATTGTAAAAATATAAAAAGCTTATTCAGAATTTGATTGTCTTCTATTGTTTTACACATTCTACACCAACTTTAGTGTTCTTTGAAGTTTGGGACTTTTTTTAGATTTGGTGTTGTAATAAATTTGTTATATTATCCGTCTGAAGTTAGCTTCCTTTCTTGTTTTAATTTCACAAATAAATCAATCAAATTTATTGCAACTCCCCAAGCCCCTCAAATAAACCCCTTCACTTCCGACCCATTGACTTTTGTATCTTTGGGTCAAAGTTTGCCGGGTCTTTCGATTTTTTTTTTCCTCTTTTTTGAATATCTTGTTTGGGTTTCGTTTCTGTTTAATTTGGAATGACTATCTTCCGCCCACGCAGGCCATCAGGAATCATGAGGAACTAAACGAACAACAATTTAACGCAACATCATCGGAATATCGACCGCAAAAAACAACAATACCATAAATTCCTCCCGGACTTGTTGCAGTTGTCGGCTTCAGTCAACAAATTGTTGAATGCCGCGTGGGATGGGAGTGTTGTCGTAACGCATTTTATATACCTGAAGATTCTTGCTTGAAAGCTTTTGTTTCGGTTTTCTTAATTTAATTTGTTGGATGGCGTTTGGCCTAATCGACAGTCACAGTCGCAGTCGTGTTTGACTTTTGGCCTTAGCCCAAGACAATTGTGAGAGGTGTTGCCGGGAAAATCAAATTGCAGCTCAATAGGCGACCAAGCAAATTACAATTGGGATTGTTCGTTTTATTGGCTCTCTAGCTCTATGCAGCTATAAATGTATTTATTTTTAAGAAAAAACCAGCTACAGCAATTGCAACACGTCGCCAACAGCTGTGTCAGCTGGCACTTGGCTGTCTAACGATTTATCTAACTACCATCTCAGCTCCGGGGACCACGCGGCGTATGCGCAATTGCCATTTAATTAAAAATTATTTGCACAGCGAGGCGAGACAATTTTTCGTCGATTTCATTTATCATTATTTTTTGGTATTTTTGTGTTTGTGCAGGTGCTCAACGGAAACGACATAAATAAAATATTCACACGCTTTCCAGCCGCTCGGACTCTGAATTAATGAGTATTTCACGCACCTTTTGTCAGTACTGTCGCTTTTTTCTGCTTTTGGTTGGAAAGAAGTCAAAAATGTCTTTATTTTATCGCCCCAGATAGATCCAAGCTATTTTCGGGCACCTTTATGATCGATTTAGACGGCGGCAGCACTTCTTGGGGCAATCTAATTATAATCATTAGCTGGGCAAATACAGATGTATATATTTACTCAATTTTTGCATAGTCGTCGGAGTCAATGGGCAATAAAAATTATAAGAAAACGGAATAAAAGAAGACCAAATAAATGGCCAGGCCCTGGCCAATGATGATGAAGGACTGGGAAGCGAGGCGTCTTCATTAATTATGGGAGGAAGCGAGGGGAGAGTTCAGAAAAAAATCCATTTGACAACATAAAATTTTTGTTTCAAGCAACTGTCGTTGCGATGCCGCCACTGGGGCATTAATACCAACGGCTAATTAACTTGTTGTTGAGCTCGTAAAATAGTTTGGCCGCTCATCAAGATAATAAAGGCCAGTCCGTCAGGCCAAGTCGGGCGAGTTGGCCAAGTCGGCAGCCGAGTTTCGGTTTCACTTCGACTCTTTAATTGATCCCAAAAAATTGTTGACTTTTGTGGCGTCAGCTGCAGCCAAGAACGCCGAAACTCAGATATATTGGCTACTCCCGGAATGTCCCCGTGACAGGCTACTGTCGCTAAAACAAACTGAGCCGTAAAGGGAGCGGATCTTACCAGGGCCAAGTCGAGGGACAGCATTATTGCAGTCACTTTTGGTAATTAGATTCTCAATTCGAGATAATGAAGTGGACATTAAAATTTTACAACCTCCGGGCCACAAACAAACACAGCCCGAACACCGAAAACCGAAGGCGAGCATTCAATAAATTAATTACGTATTTCGAACTAAGGCTAGCCCCTTTTTAATACCAGGTGTATGTGGACTAGCCACACCCAGCAATAAATATTGAAAACTGTCTCTACCAGAGTCTTCGCTTGTGGCCCGAAAACCAGAACCGGAAAATCACTCACATGTCTCTGGCAGTGGCACTTATAATGCAGTATGCATGGCTCTAATTAAACCGCAATTGTTGTGTAAACTTTAAGGAATTGATTGCTCGGACACGATCCAATGGGACAGGTACGAAGTGATGTCTGGTTAGCAATTAAGCAGTAATTGACTCGAAAAGGAGGCCATACATGAATTCAGCAAACAAACTACATCTCCGGCTTTAAATAATTAATTCAAGATGAGAGTTGTGGAATCTTCAATAGCATTTGTAGGATTTATTCTGAGAAATCCCCGTCAAAAAGTGCACTATCTTGTGGCTTTTTATGGCCCCAGTCTAAAACCCTTAATTGCCTTCAATTGAAGTCATATCAGAGCCCCTGATTGATGTTGTTAGTCTAGTTTTATAACCCATAACCGGAGGCCATAACCGAATATAATAAAACTCGTCTAAGAACGCTCACCCCACTTGAAGCCAAGTCCCATGCCCCAGCCAGGCCCAGTCCCAGCGCCCTCCCAAACCAGAAATGTTGCAATAATTTTGCTCTCGCAGCGAAGAAATATGTGCCTCATGCTGGGTACCAAAAGCTGATGACCTTTTGGCATTTTGCATTTCGAAGCCAAAAACAAAGGAAAGAGTACACACGAGGCTGGGAGAAGCCCAAGCTTGGGGCGCAGTATAAATAAATTTATATCATTTTTTGTTTTTATTTTTATATTTTTTTTTTGCAATTTT